GAATAATGATGATAGTCACTAGTAATCATGCTAAAAGTAATACGTAGTGATAATCAGAGTAATAATCATCACAATCATCATAATAATCGGGATAGTAGTAACCAGAACCATATGAAAAATGAATAACACTAAGTCATCGACATCATAATATCGACCGCGCAAAGTGTACTGACAATCATTGCGGGTTAAGAACGACATTGATGATGATGACAAAACATAGCGAAAAGAAGAATAATATGTGTTCGTGGCGCATCAGGCTCGATCTCTGTCGTTGCGCCCGAGCCGCTGCCTTTGAGGTCGCGCAGGGTACTTGTATTAGAAGGGCTTGGTTTGTTTCTTGCTGATGTGCTTTCTGTTTGGGAAGGCGTTGTTGCTTTTGGTTTGTTTGGCTGCTTTGGGGCTTGCGATGTGCGCAAGCAACTGGTCAGTTCGCCAATGCATTGTTTTTGCCGCAAGCCCGAGTCACGTGTCTGCATTGGGGTTCGTGGCTCCTATCGCTCCTATCTGGCCTCATTGCTGGAGACGACTGTGGTTGGAGTGCAATGGTGATGAAGGCAGAAGGTCCCTTCGCCTCACCGTTTTGCACTGGTTGCTGCAGGAACATTGGGCAAACTGTAAGCCGTTTTGGCATGCACGACAAGGCTGATGACACCGCAACGGTGCTGTCTGAGAAGTCTTGCCCATTCTTCAACGAGATGGAGAGACATCGGACGTCTATGCAGCGGATGCCAACGCAGCTTACGAGGCACTTCCATTTCAACGATGAAGTCGCTCGCGCGTTTGCTTCGTGAGCTCCGGTCCTGCTTCGTTTTTCTAGGGACATCGCGAGCTCCTCGTTGCTAAAGTGCAAAAAGCTCAGGCGCTAGCATCAAAATGACAAAATGACGTAAACCCGAGGGTCAAGATAGCAAGGGCGAAGCTTTGTGGCAAAAGCACAAACAAGACGGAGAGTCATTCGTACACGAACCTTTCGCGCCAACCAGGCCCCCACAGCTGGCATTCACCGCCCGCGGCAAGAGTCCAGATCTGATCTACTACGTGCGGAGCTCAGAAGGTAGAGGTCTGGCTCAGGGTTCATGGTTTGACACATAAAGGAGATACAGAGTCTGACACATCAAGGAGCTACAGAGTCTTGGGGCCTCGGGAAGGGTGCTTAGGGTGCAAGACCTAGGCTTTTGAGGGGTATGCGGTATGCGCAGTTAGATGCCAGTGGGCAATGGGCACGGTGGATTTCTTTCTGATGTAAAATTTGATGTGAAATGCTGACTTCAGATGTTCACGCAGGATGAGAACTGTTGCTGAAGGGGTTCAAGGGGATTTAGGGTTGCACAAGTCGTGGATCGAATCCAGGGGCTGAACCGCTCAACCGCACGAGGAGCGCTTCAACACTGAGGCCAATCCCCATTGTCTTCTCCATGGTTCTGGTACTACTACTTGCTTAAGCACCAAAACATGAAAAATAATAGTCCCTCCATTACCCTTATAAGGAAGAACTTTTTTTTTTTTTGGGCGGGGGGGGGGGGCTTCTTAAGCAAATAGTAGGGTAGGAGACCCCACCTTTCGGGACCAGTGTCTGGTACGCCCTCGACCCTTAGCCCAAACCGAGGTTGAACATCTCCGGGCCAGAAGCTTCGAGGCACCTGCCAGAAGCTTGCGGAATTAGGTCATTGGTTCACAGTAGTTGTCGGAAATCAGGTGACTGTTCCTGATGTGCTGCAGCTTTCAAGTGCAAGCTGCGACAATGTCACGTTTGGTGCCGTGATCCAGCAACTCAGGGCCGCTGGCCTAGGCCAAGATGCCAACGTGGCAAGGGTGGCCCGCGTTGGGCATATTGCTTCTCCCTCATGTTGGTTCAAGATGGTTCAAGTACCGTCACGCTCCGTGGCTCCATGCAAACCAGGTCGGCCAAAGGCATGAGCCTTGATGAAGCCGCCCTGAAAAGACACGAAGGGCCGAAACAGCACAACTTATTCCTCCCCGTTGTTGTCGTGAGGGCTCGGCCAAAAGACTCTGAGAGCTACCATCCCCTTCACAGTAGACCTAGTTCTAACCCACTTTCAAAGCCTGCCCCGGAACCTGTCTCCAGGAGCGGCATCGGGCCCTCATCAGCCTCCTAACGACCGCCCGGGAGGGCGCGGCGATGCGGAACGCCATCCTCCAGGTCGGGTCATGTAAGGATATTGGTGTAGGGTTAAGGGCTTCAGGGATTTTAGGGCGTTTTAGGGTTTAAGAAGAAGGGCCTTTTCTCCAAATTCTGAATCATCACAGTACAAAAGAAGCCTAATAGTTTAGAGACCTGACCAGCTTGGGTGCCTAGTCTTGCTAGCGTAGCCTCTTGGAACCCAACCTCAAACACTAAGCCACCAAGCCGTCTTGCTCCAGAAACGCCATTCAGAAGCTGAAACCCCAAGCCCGGCAACAAACCCTAAAGCCCCGAAGCCCCAAAACATCCTTACACTCAAACCGGAAGCCAAGCCCTGTAGTAAAAAACAAACCTGAAATGTCCCATTACGCCCCACTAAGCCCCCTATGCCCAGTAGCCCTAAACCCTAAACCCCCTAAATCCCCTTTTTCAGCCCTGGAAAATCTACACCTGCTCAGGCCGGCGCAGTCCTTCCCCTGGTGGAGCTGCTGCGGGACCGCAACGCACCAGCACTCCAGGAGGCCAGGCTTTGGTAGAGGGGGGGAGGGGTTTAGGGGGGTTTAGGGTTTCGGGTTTCGGGTTTTGGGTTTTGGGTTTTGGGTTTTGGGTTTTGGGTTTTGGGGGGGGGGGGGGGGGGGGGGGGGGGTTTGGGGTTCCGGGCTTTGGAGGCCAGGGCTCAAGGGCTGAGAGAGGTTGAGGGGTTTAGGGCTTCGGGGACTTCCGTTGCTCACGGGCTCTGGGCAGGCATTCAAGTGGTTTTTGGTGCCGGCTGTAGTCAAGGAACGTTAGCCGTTCTGAAGCTCCTTCATATCTAATAATTCACAGCCTTTCCCCCCTTGGAAACTCAGCCAGTAAGCATATCGAAGCACCCCGCGAAACCTCGCCTCAAGAACACAAAGGTCTGGAGCTTAGCAGGCGTGCCTGCTTGCAGGGATAGCTGTCGGGCTTTAGCAGAGCTCCGCGTCGTGAAGGAGGACCTGTTTGTTAGCGGCACCTCTCGCAAACGATGTGCAAGATGGTCCTTTGTCCTGCTGAGTCTTCTCAAGTTGTCCAAGCACCAGATCCATCTAGCCAGATTCCTACGGAAAACCCTGCAGCACTCTTGAATTTTGTTGCCGAGTGGGCTGCACGTGGCGGTTGTTCTAAAGAGCCCATGGGAAAAATCCTGGGGCGTTGTACCTGAAGGCCTGAGCTCTCCTGAGCAGCCATAAACCCCCTACGCCCCTAAAGGATCTTATTGTAGAAGGTGGGTGTTTCTCGGAATTCTGTTTTTGTGGGTTCCTACCGATACCCAAAAAGACAAGGATGATTAAGATGTAGAGAGACCCCAAACCCTAAACCCCTGTAGCTGAAGTTCCGAGGCTGCTGCAGCTGCATTGGGTGTACTTGCCGCAGATGGCGAGGCGCTCCACTTTTGTCTTCCTTGGAGTTGATGCTTCCCACGTGGGGGGGGGGGGGGGGGTTCGAGCGCGGCTTTTGTTGAAGTGTCTGCTCGTTTAGGGTTCAGGGTTCAGGGTTTAGGGTTTAGGGTTTAGGGGTTAGGCTGGGGCTTGCAAGTTCGCGTCTGGAGGGGTGGTCCCTGTAAATCGGGCCAACTCGACGACTTCAAAGGCACAGCCGCTCTAAACCAAAACACCCTTCAGCGCCAAGCCCAACATCCTGAACTCATGCACACCAAAAGAACTTAGTTACAAAATGGAGCTGTGAACTGCGAGAAAAAATTCCGAGGCATCTTCAGTCTTGCCGAAGAGGCTCCCTAACCCGAAACCCTCAAACGCAAGGTAGGGCCCTGGGATACTTTCCTAAACCCTGAACAGGTATCCCTAAGTTAGGGCTCAGGATCGGATGGCTCAAGGATCGAAAGGGGTTCAGCCACGACGCACCCGACAGGCTGCCCAGTCGACGCTTCTTCGCGCTGGCGCTGTGTCGGCCCTGGTGAGGCTTCTGGGAAGGGGGACTTTAGGATCCAGCGTTTAAGGCTTCCTAAACCCTAAACCCTAAACCCTTCAGGGTTAGGGCTTGGGGCCAAAATCCTGAGGGTTTAGAGCTCGTCCTCTGCCTCGACCTGGAGAACAAATCTAAAACGATTTTGCCCCCTGGTTCTTAGTAGGGAATGGGGGAATTAGCTACCTTACATACCCTTCAATTGATTCTGCGAGGTACCGAGTGCCCTCCTTCCTACTAAGAACCAGTAAGTTAAGTGGGGTTCTTAAGCCCACCGCTTCAATGTCACATGCTTTGGCCACGGCCTCATAGTGCGGCGCCCTTACATATGAGGCCCCCCCGAAAAGGAAACCTTACTGTTAGGCGATGTTACCAGCAGCCCTAGACATCGAGAACTAGACCCTAAACCCCTTGCAAGGAACGGAGCGTAGGGTGCCGGATTCCACTTGCCTTAGTAGGGTTGTGGGTTTGGGGGTTTAAGATTCGGAGAGTCTACGGCCAAAGGCTGGTTTTAGGCTTGGGTTGCTTCGGATTGGAGGTTGAGGGTTTGCAGTTGCCGACATGATTGGCACAAATCGGCGCTGTTTTGGCTTCACCTGCATGCTTGTGAATGCGCCATTCAGGGCCTCACTTGCTCCAGACAGGTAAGAAGGTTTCAGGTTCGGGGCTTTGTAGACAGCAGGGAGCAACCAGACATCAAGTACCAACTGTCTAAGCAACGGCCTTGGCCTTGATTGATGCATGCGTACAACGCAGTATACCGTGAGACACGGACATAAGCTGGATGTGTTCACCAATGCTACTTGTGAAGAGCCAGACGATGAGGCCTATATCCTCAAACCCGAACCATACACCAGCAGCCTGAAGCCTTGCTCTATCTATACTGTACACACATGGCGCGCGATTTCGAGCAATGATGAGGAAGGCTCTATCTGAGCTTGGCTCGCGAGGTCAGGAATCAGGAATAGATGGGTCGCAAGGGGTTCATGGGGCTACGGCTAGGCCATTCTGACTTCTGAATCCAGGCCCGAAGGAAAGAAAGAGTCCTCAAAGGAGTGGCACTAGACCCTCCTACCGTAAAGGCATGGAGACCTGAAAGTCTCGGCACTGCCTCTCAGCACCCGATACGCCAGATCCGACAACCCTGAAGGCCTTAAGGTGTGAGGACATTCGTGTTTTTTAGGATGTTGAACTTAGCACAAGTCTCAAGTCCGAACCGAACACATTGGGAATGCGGTGCTGCTTGCAGGGAGCAGTGTTCTCATACTTCGCTTCGTGAAGTGGGATGAGTTTCAGGGTTTGGGGTTCCAAAGTCCCATAAATCTTGCGGAGAAACTAGCAGCCATGGGTCGAGCTGTTTGGGCCTCTGGCCCTCCGGATGTCGAGTGCTTTGGAAAAGGTGCCCCAAGCCCTAAGAAGAATGGATGAATCAGAAGGAAACCGGGAAAGACGACTTACAAGTACGTCATAGTAGTCCGCTTGATTGGTCAGTACATACGTACAATGTTGAAACCACACACGCACATACACTACAGGGCTTTGGGCTCGAAAGCTTCAAGGCATAGCACGTTGGGCCTTCAGAGACTTAGGTTTTGTGGGGGTCTGCCAGGCGGGCGCGCAAGTCCCCTCGAGAAATGCTGCTGCCGCTGCTACTGCTTTCTGGTCATCCTGGTACTGGCCCCGTGGTGCAGTTAAGTTTTGCTTGAAGCGCCAAAAGCTGGGCCCCAGCTCTAGTAGCCCAAGCCCCGCCACCCCTGAAGTTTCCTGCTTGAAGTTTTCGGCAAAATTGAGCAGCAGTCGTAGCGGCAAGCTGTTGTCGTTGTTGTTTGAAGGTTTGCGGGGGGGATCAGTCAGGATTGGGGGCATAGAACTGACTGAGGTCGCATCCGGGCTTTTCATCGCCATGGGTGCCATGAAGGATTTGACCATGGACGGCAATAGCACGGACTCTCGCCTGCCACGCGGAGAGGGTCGTACAGTGGCTAGTATACCCAGCAACCCTGTCTTCAGAAAGTAAGCTGGGGAATAATTAACAACCTTGGTCCGCACTTGCAAGGATTGGGATCAGCAATGGACCTTCGACTCCAGTGGCAAAGGCATACTGGCGCTCACTTTGGGATGTTGCGTCGGCGGCCTTGCATGTTGCCTATGCTGCGTGCCCGTGTGCTACGCGGAGTGCGCCAGCAAAGAGATGAGGCATGCCTGGGGGCAGGAGTGCTCCAAGTGCACCCGATGCTGCTCGAAGTGCTGGTGCTGCTGCTGCTGCGTGGTGTGCTTCAACTGCTGTGACTACTACTGCTGCCGGAGGCGGGGGCGGAGCGATTCGCCTCAAGCACCTAAGGACATGGGCCGACGAAAGCTTGCTGCGAGCACAAAGTGCATAATAATAAAAATAGTAGTAGTAATAATAATAACAATAATTCAACCACAACACAACCCGAAACAAATCCTGCACACCCATTTGCCCAGCCCCAGCCCGACTTGAGGAGCGTTACGTGCCCCGGCTGGATCCCTATGAGACACCGAAGATGCCAGACATGGTCGAAATGGGCCAGGCGGCAACTCTCTGAGAGAAGCTTCTAGGTCTCTTCAGAAGCCAGCACCTTCCCTTTCAAATCAGAAGCATGGTGGATAGGGTTCTAGGGCTCAGGGGACGAGACAAGTTCTCTAACTTTTGTGTGCTTGGGGTTATGACTGATGCAGCCTGCTGGTGTCCCTTGCTGGAGCGTCCAAAGAGGCTGGCTTGCATTCAAGAGCAACGGTAGTTAGGGTTTAGGGTTTAGAGTTATTGCAGTCATCAGCGCTAGTAAGATTAACTTTGAAAAATAGGATATATGAACATTATCATTCGGAATGGCGGAAGGACTGACTTGGAGCCGCTCCAGCGTCAGCATGCTTTCTTCGGTAGCGTGCCATTCAATGGGCGTGGCTTCTGTGCGCTCATTGTATCGGATGGAGGGGCAGGGCATGGCCTCAACTCAACCCCAAAAGCAGGTACCAGAGCCGTAAACCTGCCCTGAAGCTCAGAAACCCCGATTCTCTCGGTTGCATCCTTCGAGGTTCTTTCTAGGTTTAGGGTTTAGGGTTTAGGGTTTAGGGTTTAGGGTTTAGGGTTTAGGGTTTAGGGTTTAGGGTTTAGGGTTGCACTTGGGTTTGCAGGCTCAAGTCTTAAGTTTTATAAGGCCAAGAGCTGCTAAACGGCTGATTTTTCTTAGCTCCGAGACCCGAATCCCTAAAGTCCTATACCTTTAAACCGATCCGCAAACCTTGAAACGACCCGGCTTGTTCTTAGGGGCCCTTTGTTACAGCCAACAACTACGATGCAGATCAAAGCTCGTCCCAGTCCACTCGCAGTTGCTGCTTGACACGCTTGTGGTGTGTACATGTAGCTCGGAAGCAGGGGCTTCTGAAAGTGTGGCCGCGTTGCAGTTCCTCTTCCACGTGCCCCTAACGGAGGCAGAGACAAGTCCTAGAATCATGAAAGACACCCTAAGCTACCCCTAAACTCTGAAGCCCCTAAGACCTAAGCCGCCCCTAAGACCTAAGACCCAAGCCCCGAAACCCTGAACTCTAAGCTACCTCTGAATCTCAAGTCCACCGACCATCTTAGCTCCGGAGCCCTGCCATCTCAGAGAACCAAAAAACTGAAGGTCTTTTTACTTCTTATAGTAATATTCCAAATTACTATGTGAATGTTATATAGCACTACACTACAATCATACAACATGAAGACTATGCGAACGTAAAACATCTTGAAATTTGTATAATGACAGCATAAAAACGAAATAAAAACACTAGCAATAGTAACAATAGTTAGAATAATGAGTCGTAATAGTACTGGTAAAAAGGAGAATATGGTCACAGAATCATATATTAGGAATATTTATACATCTAATATTAATACCAAGGTTATCTGCGTATGATCCTTATACAACGATAAGATCCACCTACCCAAGTAGTAGATGGGCCCCCAACTTGGGCTTTGAGGGTCATTGTTGAACCAAGGGCTTCCTAAACCCTAAACCCTGAACCCTAAACCCTAAACCCTATCATCGCTCTCCGGAGTGGCGCACGTGCGCGTCTCCAGGCTGTGAATCCCACAGCTGCCCTTCGACTAAAGGGGTGATGTTCTTGGGTTCCAGATGGTTGGGGTTTAGGGTTTAGGGTTTAGGCTTTGGGATTAGGGCTTCGGATGGTCTAGGGAGATACTTTAGGGTTGAGGGTTCTAGGGGGTATTTAAAGGGGTAAAGGTCTGGGAACTCGCAAACCCGATAGTTTCAAGACCTCAAGGAGAGGTGATAGCAACGGTTAGGTTTTCAGAGATCTGGGAAGACGTACAAAGAGTCAGATAGCTAGGCCAGAAAGCCTCAACGTTGAAACCTGGGTGATGACTTCCTTGCAGGGTGCTCTTGTGGGTCTGGCGAATCTGGGCAATCAAGTCATGTAGTCGGTATGAAGCCTAGAACCCCATATATCGACAGTGGATTATTCTTGTTATATCTGACAAGGAAGCCAAGAACCCCATAGACATGAAAGATGATTATTGGTATAGATGAAACCCAAGAACCTCAGAGATCTGCGATTTGGGAAACCTCAAATCCGTGTCACCTCGTGGGTTCGGCACTCGAAGCCTGAGAGACCCAACCAAGTGTCGGAAAAAAAAAAACAAGAAGTCGCCAGGGTTGCGTGTTTAGATTTAAGGGTTTAGGGTTAAGGGTTTAGGGTTTAGGGTTAAGTGTTTAGGGTTCAGGGTTAAGGTTTTAGGGTTTAGGGTGGGTTTTGCGTTTTCTGCCCCTAAGAGGGGCGACCTTGGCGGCCTTCACAGCCATCACCCGCAGCCCAGAAGCTCCGAACCCCACACCTTAGACCCTCCCAAACAACAAGGCCCTCTGCAGGGGTCCCTTATGGTCCCTCCAAAGTCCGACAAAAAAACCAAAAACAAACCTATTCTAATTACTCAGGCCCTTATATTAGACGGGCGGCGACCGGCGGCCCTCAGGCCCTAACACCCAAGAGCCCGAAACCCTGATACCCTGAGCTCCATGCCTAAGCCATAGGTGTCTAGGGTCCACTTGAGTTCTAGCTAGTCTCGTAGTACTGTGCTTTCCCTCTTGGTTTTTCTAACAAAACCTCGTTCTTTGCCCTAAAACTTCAAAGGCCCCCCCAAGCCCCAAAGCCTACATCGAGCATCCCAAAAACCTGACACTAAAACCCTAAGCCCCTAACCCACCAAGGAGTTCCGAGTTGGAAGTTCTTGCGTAATATTGGGGTCGGAATAATTGCTAGTAGCCTTCCCCGGGGACCCTTTCTATATGTACTACAATAACCCCCCCCCCCCCCCCCCCAACAAAAAAAGAATATTGAGGCCCCTATATTAAGCGATGGAAACGCCTAGAAGACAGAAGCCCTCCTCAACAGCATGGCCCTGATAACCCCAGACCCCAAACCCCAAACGCCAAACAGCCCTCATTCCCCAAGCCTTCACTCCCTAAACCCTAAACCCTAAACCCTAAACCCTAAACCCCTCATTTCGGGAGGCTGCTTGACTCGGACTCCTCCGTGGCAGCCTCAGGAACCCCACATCCGCCCCCAGCGTCGCGGAGCTTTCGGGGCTCCGGGGGTCTTGAGGATCCCGAAACCCGAAACCCCAAACCCTAAAACCCTAAACCCCAAACCCCAAACCCCAAACCCTAAACCCTAAACCAATGCCCATATCCCTAAACCCTCGGTCCCAGGGTTCAGAGCTGCTTGTTGGGGGCTTTTTTGTTGCGCTTTTTTTTGGTTCCGTGGAGGTTTGGGGCGGGGGCTTCTCTACTCTCTTCCAGTCCACGCCCCGGCTCAAAGACGGCGACTCCCAAGAGCCTAAAACATTACCTCTATATAGATATACATGTAGTATATAGGTATTCTTATTTATATATATATATATGTATGCTGTATGCTCAATTATTTACACATATGTATATGTAGTTCAATATTTTACTGATTCTTACGACTCCTTATCATGATCATCCTCACATAAGTACAAAAACACGCCAGCATGATCCCACAATGATCTCCAGGGTGGCTTTCCGCAACCTGTAGCCCCAGCCCTACTACCAGAAACCTCCGGCCTGTGCTGGGGGGGTTTAGGGTTTAGGGTTTAGGGTTTAGGGTTGCATAAGATCATTCCATTACCTTCTTCTTTGCAGAGGTGCCAACAAAGGCTGCAGCGAGCGCGATCCGATCCTTTTCTGCACTCGGGCTCAGGGCGTGTATAATGGCCGATGTGGGGTGAAAGTCCTTTCGGTTCCATCGACTTCCGTGCCCAAAAATCTTGATTCCTTCGGGATGGCTGTCTGGCTTGAGGCATTCATGAGTTGGGCGAACTCCCCCCCTAGACCCAACACCTCCACTTCATGTTGTGATGTCTTGCTGGCGCTGGCTTCTATGTTTAGAGATCTGGGGCGTCAGAGTGTGCAAGTGGGGCCGAGGAAACTTGGCAGCGAATCACAATGCAGCCCAGCTCGCCATCGCGCAGGTGTGAATCTGAAGAGCATCCGGGTGAAGTTTAGGGTTTAGGGTTTAGGGAAGTCTAATCTTCCGGACCTTAGGGCAACCCGAAACCTTTAAACTGGTCAAATTTTCATTCCCCAGCATGCGCAGGGAGATGTCGATATATCTTGTTACCAGCGAACTTGTTTGCGAGCGGTGACTGTATCCAGGGTTCACCACATATACTTATAGATGTGTATATATACCTATATTCTCGATGTGTATTTGTATGTATATATATATATACTTCACTTATTTGTTGTTGTTTGACGTTGATCTGGTCAGCCGTGCGCCACCAAACACGGGATGCATCTTCAGAGGGCGCTGAAGCCGAACTTCCATGTCCGACGTCTACCATGACACGCAATGTCACCACAGGTGGCCAGCCCAGCCCGAAGCCCCACGGTTGAGCGTTCAGGGCCCCTGGAACACGGTGGCCCCTAAACGATGAGATCCTTTTCTTCTTGGCCAAGCCCTGAGTAACAGTGATGCTTTTGGGCAGTATATACTCCTGCTTTTCCATGACCCTAAACCCTAAACCCGGAACCCCAAACATGGGACCCAGCCCCCCCCACAGACGAGACCCTTCTACACAGGCCGGGGCCATCACGCCTTTGATTCACCTCCTGGCTCATTCCGACCCGGGGGTCCAATCCCAGGCCTCAGAGGGGCACGTGTAGGGTTCAGAGGTTAGGGTTTTTTGGGTTTGGGATGGGTTTAGGGCTTTAAGACTTCAAGACGTTCAGGCTTTCAGGGGTTTGGGGGTTCGGGGTTCGGAGTTTTGTAAGCTCCGAGGGGGGGGAGGGGGGAAGAGAGTTGGGGGAGTTGGGGGTCTGAAGGATTGTGGGTTTCTTAGAGCTTGTCAGCAGTTGTGTTCCTAAAGTGTGGAGCTTCAGGCTTCAGCCAGGCCCAGGGGCGGAAGAGCTTTTGGGATGTTGAGGGTGGCAGTCCCCTTCAGGGTTTAGGGCTTAGGGAGTAGTACTTTTGGGTTTAGGGTACAGGCACAGGGTACAGGGTTTAGGGTTTAGGGTTTAGGGTTTAGGGTTTAGGGTTTAGGGTTTAGGGGTGTTGGACCCTTATGCTCCCAAACCCCAGCAAGGCTCGAGGGTCCGGAGGTTCCCTCTCCTGCCGTTCATTGAACTACATCCCCCTTGGGAATTATATTTTTTATATTTTTTGTTTGTATAAAACCCAAGAGGATATTGAAAATACTCATTTTCATTAGGGTTCTAAGGGGAGTATAGAACTGAAGCTCCCCCCAGACCTACAGCTTCAAAGAGCTTCTCGGGCTTCGGATCTCCCGAGTCTCTAAGCCCTAAAACCCAGAAGGGTTTATGAAAAACAAGTATAAAGGTAAAGAACATATTTTTTCAAATAAAAAATAGAACAGCAAATAAAAACTTAAAGAATCTATTTTTCAAAAATTAGAAAAATAGAACAGCAAATGGAAACTTAAGAACCTTGAACTGAACATCGCGCTAAAACTCCAGGCAGCCGCAGCACTGGGGAACTTGGCCGGAGACAACTCCGAGAACCACTTTGATAAGCAGGCGCCGCTGTGAGGTTGAGGACTTTATATAGGGACCTTAATGATTCGGATAAGGTTTTGGGGGTTGTCAGAGTGTATTTTTGTAGGGACCCTAAGGGAATAATACTGCTAGTAATTCTTCCGGCCCCTATATCAATTTAGGGTTCAGAATCCTGCATGCTCTGAACCGTAGGGAGTTGGGGACTTCGGTACCCTATATGCTTGAACTTGAAAAGGGCCCCGGGTTTCCTGCAAAGAGCTGGGACGTGCGGCTTCTTTCTATCTGAGTGGACCAAGTGGCCTGGGTTTTCGGATGGCTGCGCATGGCTGCGCTTTTGGGTGAGGCTCTTGTTTCGCGGAGCTCGTTTTGTCCTAGAAATCTTTCTGTCTTCTGTTTTCAGGACTGGATTTAGGACTCCAGGATCTCGTATGAGGCTAGGTGCTGCAGCTGTGCCGAAGAATTCCGGGAAAATCTGCGGCTGCCACGCCGAGACACCTCCCGCCGAAGCAGGGAGCACTTAGAACCTGGTTGCTTTGGGGGTTTAGGGGTTCGTTCGGGGGTCTAGGGAAGGGCCAGAGACCCTAAACCAAAAACCCTGAACCCTAAACCTTCAACCCCAAACCCTAAACCCTAAAACCCTAAACTCCAAGCCCTAAACCCTAAACCCTGAACCCTAAACCCTAAACCCTAAACCCTAAACCTTCTGGGTGGCCCCCAGATGACGATCGCCCAAGCTGGCGCCGTGCCGCCCCTGGTCCGACTCCTGGAGCGACCGTTGGCAGAGCTGCGCCGCGGCTGCAAGAGCTCAAGGTCCAGGAATTCTTTGGGTTTTTTTAAGGGCCTTTTTAGGTGTTTTTAGGGTTGTTTAGGGTTTGTTTGGGGTTGCGTTTTTCGGGTTGTTGGAGTTATTTCGGTGTTTTGGGTTTTTTTTGGGTTTGAGGTCCAGAAAGTGAAGGGTTCAGGGAACGAAAGGGCAGCGTTGGGTCCTTAAGGTGTGTTGGGCTGATCGTGCAGGCAGTGACGGGTTGAGCTCGGACATGGGCCCTCTTTTAATTTTTGCGTTTCTAGAGCAACTTCGCTTGTAGGGTAACAAGAGAAACTGAGTCTTCAACACGAAAACCTCCCAAGGAAGTCTCGCTTTCGCGTCCCTTTGTTAAACCCTAAACCTTCGACATCAGAACCCGGCTTCCTAACTGCTGGTACGCCCCACAAGCCAAGCGCATAAATGCAGCAAACCCCTGAACCCACGGCGTCCCAAAAGAGAGAATCAAGAACTTCATCAGAGGATTTCCGAAAATAGGGGTCCCCCTTTGGGGGGTGGTCCCTTTAAGGAGGTTCTATTCTTTTTGAGTAGAAAGGGGTACCTCCATTTGGGAAATACCCATCCACACCCCAAGCCAAGGAGGGAAGCCGGAGCATCCGCCCTGCGCATGCTCGCCACGAACAATGCTGACAACCAAGTGCCTCTTACCGCATTTTTGGATTTAGGGCTTCTAGTGTTTGAAGCGTTTTTAGGGTTAAAAGGGTTCCAAGCTTGAGGCGTCTGTTTTTTGGCGAGTGTCGCAAGAGGAACCCTAGCAGTCTGGAACATCAATCCCTTTCCTCGCTCCGTTCTGGTTCCGCTTGTGGCTGCACGACGACCATAGTCACTATTCCTGGCCCAAGCTAACTTTCGAAGCTTGCCTCCCACATCAGAAAGCTTGTCCTGCGCTACAATCCTAAGCCCCCTTAACCCTAAGCCCTTTACAGTTCAGGGCTTGGGGTTTCCCCATGTAATCCTCGAGTGTCCACACACCGAGGTAGCAGTGGCTCACGCAGGGGCCATTCGGCCCATGGTGCAGCTTCTCTACGATGAAACGCCGGGGAACCTGAAAGAACACCCCCACAATCCCCCCATTTGTAGTCTGTCTAAGGCTGCTGGGGTCGTGGTCTTCAACTTCTTGACGCAACAAAACAAGGGAGCCACGAACAAAGTGCACATATCCAGTCACTTTGGCGTAGCTGTCCAGAGCCGGTTGGAGGGATTTTGGTGGAGAAAACATTTAAATCATCTAAGGGTTGGGGGCTCGAATAAGCGTCGCAGGACCAGAACCCCCAAAAAAACACTGAATCCCAAACTCACAAGGGGCCGCTGACACCCTATGCAACTTGAGCTTAGGTCTCCGGGACCCATGCAAGGGCTCAACCCTAAACGCTTGAAACTCCGGACGTAAAACCTCACACTGTTTGGGGAGATGGGAACCTGAAACTCAACTCCCTGAGCCCCAAACTATGCTGTTCTTGTCGGGAATTACGTTGTTATACCGAGCTCAAGGGAATGTTGAAGATGGTATTTTTCAGTTGGGTTCTAAGGGAGCATCATGAACCCTAAACGAACCCCCCGGATCCTCAAGTAACTGCTGCTTAGTGGAATGGGGGAATAAGGTACCATATATAATCCCTTAAAGGGTATATAGGGGCATATAGGGTGCCTCATGCCTTCATTCCCCTACTCACCAACAGTAAGTTGAACCCTAAACCCTAAACGCTAAACATCCCCAAACCCTAAACGACTCTCCGGATCCTTGAGCCCAGAGGCCCAGCGTCAGGGAAGAGGCGGCCGCTGCCTTAGGGAACCTCGTCTTTTACAACGACGAGACGAACGCGGGAAACCAGGCGCGACGCGGGTTTGGGTTTACGGTTTGGGGTTGAGGGTTTAGGGTTCAGGGTGGTTCATGGCATGATGTAGAGGGTTCAGGGATGTTTAGGGTTTTGCGGGCTTGGGGAAATTAATTGCAGGGGCAGGAAGCGAACCCCTAACGGCTGACGCACACTCACAACGTATGGCCGCGACAGGCGAAGAAGCATCGGACGGTTTTCGGGTTTGGGGGGTTGGGGGTTTAGGAGGGTCCTGAACACTAGATCCTGAGTGCCGACTCCTAAGACCCTGCATCCCGATACTCCCAGCTTGCCTTTGCTCCAAAGGGAAGCCGTCAACTTGCCTCAGTCCCCGCAAACGAAATCCTAACTTCGTCCGGAACATCCCTGTATTTCCCCCCCTACCAGAATCTGCGTTTTAAAACAAACCAAGAGCCTGGTAAAGCCCTAAAAACTCTTAGAAGGAAAACACAAATCGCAAATAAGCCCCTCGACTCAAGGCCGCCATCGCCGAAGCGGGAGCATTGCAGAGACTTGGAGTACTACTGCAGGACAAGGCAAGGTTTTTTGTTGGGGGAATTGGGGAGGGATTTTGGGATTTTTTTGGTTGGGGGAGGGGGGTTAGTTGGCTTGAGGGTGTAGAGGATTTGGATTTGGGGCTTAGGGTTTGTAGCTCTGGGGACCCTAAACCCTAACCATAGGCTTGGGGATCGCCGGCACGGCTGGCACCCCAGTGAATTCCTGCGGGTCAGGAATCCCCAGCTCAAAATTTGACACCGCCCGCACCGCTACAGAAAGGGCTACCAGAGGCCGGAAAAGGCTGGAAAGGAAAGGCATCCCACGGCTTCAGAAGCTTAGAAAGGCTTCACAATGTTATTCTTAAAGCTGTTGTTATCTATCTATCTATCTATCTATCTATCGTGCGTAAGTCGATGTTAGGTCAGAGAGTAGGTTTCTAAAAAAGGGTCTGCGCAGAGGAAGCGCGCCTTGCCCAGAGAAACCGGTGCCATCTGAGTGCAGAGACCTATGTAAACTGGCTGATGCACGCGGCTCTGGGGAGATGGCTCTGGATCCAGAGATTTTGGAGGAGAGAGCTGGTCCTTTTCTTTCAGTGCTGATTTCGAGGGGAGGGGAGCCCTCTGCCGGCTTCGGGTTCGGAGGCTTCATTGAAGGTCTCGAATCCTCCCCGAAGCCGCTGGGATTATCAGGAAGTTAAGAGCGGTGAAGGGTTCAGGGTTTAGGGTTTAGTGTTCAGGGTTTAGAGCAGCCATTTACAATTTTGTCCGAACTGCTCGGGCCCGGAAACATAAGGGAGGTCAATCTTTCAAGAGCTGGGGTTTTGCTCGATGGATCTGAGTTCAGGACAACCGAGAACAGCGGCTGAAAGCACTCAGCCCCTAAACTCTTTTAGATTCCAAAGCCTGAAATGCGGACAACGGATACACATGGAAACGAACGGATGCACATGGAAACGTGAACTGGAAGTGAGGTGGCCACTGCTACCGTGAAACGCGCATTGAAGCCCAACAGCGTAGCCTTGAAAAGGGCATAAACTTTTTCGACCTAAACCCTAAACCCTAAATTTTTCAAACCTAAACCCCAAACCCTAAACCCTAAACCCTGAGCCGCGACATTGGGTCTTGCAGGCCGGGGCCGTCGCAGAGACTGCCGCCGGGGCCCTGAGAAATTTGGCTGCGCAGAACGCGGCCAACCAGGCCGGGCTTTGTGGTTCAGGGTTCAGGGTTCAGGGTTTAGGGTTTAGGGTTTGGGTGTTTCCGAGAGCTTTGGGGGGATGGGCCCTTGGGGTATCTTACATATTCCCTTCTTGGGTTTAAGAGGATCATACTCAGAGAAACAGTTTTTTGAAAGGGTTTTAACGGGCCAACCTAGGCTTCAAGGTTGAGGGCCGTTTTTGGTTGCCTAGGGCTTTCTGGGGGTCTGAGGGGCTTTGTTGGGGACTTGCTTGTCGCCGCGCAGGTCTCGGGACCTTGGATTTCTCGACTGGCTCTTGGGGTTTAGAGCTGCTGAGTTTCGGGGTGACGGACTTATACTTTTGGTTGTGAGAGTTTCTGCGTGCACAGTTAACTTGCCTTTTGTTGTTGTTTTGGCCATGTGCCAACGACTTTAGCTTGGATCACCCAGAGATGTTCAGCTTCAGAAGCAAGACCTGCTTTGGATTTGCGATCTTGGGTTCGGCTTTTTGTTCATGCTCCTCGCTTTGCCGGGCAGATTCCCGAGCGGTCCTAATTCCCGAACGGTCCTACTCCAACCCCCGAAGCCACGAAACCCTCAAAAACTGCGAAGCCCTGAGATCCTCAGCCCGTAAACCCCCAAAACCCCTAAGCCCCTAAAGCCCCTAAACCCAAAACCCCGCAACCCCTAAAACCCCTCAAAAACCCTAAAACCTTTAAACACCCCTAAAACCCTTAAAACCTCTAAACACCCCGAAACACCCCGAGAAACCCCTAAACAAGCCCCTAAAACCCTTAAAAGCCCCCCAAAAAAACCTTAAAAAACCCCTTAAAAACTCCTAAAAGCCCCCCTAAACCTCCTGCTTTGAGGAGACGGTCTGCCAAAGTGACACCCTACGGGGCCTCGTGCAGCTGCTGAAGGCCACTGAGGAGCCCAAGGTGCAGGCGCTTTGAGGGAGGGTTTAGGGTTTAGGGTTTAGGGTTTTTCGGCTTTGGGGCTTAAGGTTTTGGATGTTGGTCCTTTTCGGGTCGAGGGTTTGGGCTTACGGTTTTGAGGGGCTTTCACAATGGGGTCCGATCCCTGAAGTCCCGTTCTCTGTAGGCATAGTGGAGTTCCGAAAAGGGTGGACGCTGCATCCCAACTCAGAGAGAAGTGAAACTGCCAGCCAAGGGCGCTGCAGCTTGAGACTAAGCGCTTAACTCCCGCTTTTGCCCGGGGAAACAAGCCGGGTATCTATGATCATTTCTCGACATCGTGGTCCCTCTTCATAAGTCAGAGAATTCTCTTTTCGAACTGCAGGCGTCTAGCGTGCTCGGTGGTGTGTTAACGGTCTTGTTCGGTGAATTCAGAGCCGCAGTCTTTGAATCTTGACACAAAGGCCACCGACCCGCCGAACCATCGCAGCACTCTTTCATACCTTCCTCCTCTCGAGAAGAGTCCTTTCACATCCCTGAAACCGCCCGCCCCCGAAACAACCCCCCTCCCCCGCACAAACCCTAAGCCCTAAACAGACCCCTAAGCTCTAAATAGCCCTTAGTTTGGGTCCCTTGTTTTTTCAACCCGTTTACACCCTTTTTCAATGAGAGCCCATACGTCGGATCCCTCTAAACAAGGGTAAGGGACCACACTAAGGGCCCATATGGTTCCATGGTTCCAACCTAAAACCTGTGAACCGCGGCAGGTTGAGGCTGCAGGTGCCATCCACAACTTGGCAGGGGCCCCTTCAGGGGGAGGGGGATTTTGGGGGGGGGGGGGGGGGGGGGGGGGAGGGGGGGGGGGGGAAATTGAGGGATGCTTCTGAGGTTTTCCATAATAGGGGAAGGGGGGAGGAGTAAGTGGAGCCCGAGGTTGGCCTGCGTGTGTTTCTCCAAGCTTCCGCGAACGGAGGGAGGGTTTGGCGTATGAGGTGCATGCTGGGTGGGATGCAGGGATGTTAGCCAAACTGGTCTGAGATTCGGCACTTGGGGTTAGCCTGCAAGAACCTGGACATGCTCCGTGTCTCTCTGCACAACACGGGAATAAGCTACGAGCAAGGAGCAACGAAGAAAGAACCCTAGATCCTATGAACTGACTTGCCAACATGAGCACCGCAATCACCAGACTGCCGGGCCTGAAAAACAACATAAACGCAGAGCGATAAACGCAAAGCGTTTGTACAGGAACTGATCGCGAGGTTCTGGTTCAGAAAAACAGCAACTACCAATCGGGATTGAGAGTCATGGAGCAATCAAAGTACTTTCGGTGCGTTGAAACACGTCAACCGCAGAGCCCTTTACCGGGCCCAACCCCAACCCAAAATCAAGAATGTGATCTGCACCCAATCCCCACCTGGTGATCGCGTTCACCACTCAGGCGGCTGGAAACACCAGATGCCAAGGAAAGATTGTGGAGGTTCGATCGACAGAGTAAAAGTCTAGTGTAGGTATGGTTTAAGGGACCCTATCCATCCCGAGCCTATTGCTAGCCGGGCAAAGGGAAGTCCCCCATAGGGACTACACAAGGCGCGCGTGCCCCCGTGTGTGTGTGTGCGTATGTCTATATACATAACATAACTTGTTTACAGAGAGAAAGAGAGAGATGGGGAGGCTATACAAGCAGAGAAATTAAGAGCCCTTTCTAGCGGTCGAGTACCCCTAGCTGCTCAAGCGCGAACCCAGTCTGAGGTTCATTCGGGACGTAGGAGGGTCAGGCGACATGATATTTAGAGCTCAATTCAGGATGCCTCAGACTACACCCGAAAGGCCCTGAAGCCCTAGAACCCTGAAACCCCCCAAAGAACCCTAATTAAGCGTTCAGGGTTTTAGGGTCTAGAGGTTTAGGGTTTTTAGGGTTCAACCCTACAACCCTCCATGAAGCACAACAACCTTGGAGGCTGGTGGGTTACAACCACTTGTGTCGCTGCTGAAAGAGGAGGCAAGGGCTTTGGGGTTTGAGGGTCGAAGGGATGGATGCGGGAGACTGAATAACAACATCATCCATTGTAATCCTTGTAAAATACCCATTCTGCTTAAGTCGGCCTCAATACTTACATGGTGGAAGGTTACGTTGGGTGGCTCGTGAACTCATCCTGCCAGGGTGAACTTCCTCATGCCCTCACATACGAATGCAACCTCGGCGAGAGGCCCTTCGTAACTAGTATCTTAGGAAACATTCATGCAATGCCCGACGCCTGCCCTCAAAGTCCCAAACCTCAAGTTCTGAATCCTCGACGGCCACCGTTTCTTCCCGTACGTCACTGAACATGTTGTGTCACTGGCTTCGCCTCAAAGTCGAGCATCCTAGCCGTAGCCTCAAAACAAGACTCAGACGCCTGACGAGCCATGAAGAGCCAGGTTCCACGAATGCGCGAAGTTGCGGCGGGAGCCTTGTGGGCCTTAGCCAGGCGGGGCCTGGCACATTCAGGGCGAGTCGATTGAGCTTGGAGGGGAGAGGGAGAAGGCCGCAACGAAAGAAGCCCGAAATCCCGAAACCTTTCACCTCAACATGGAGAAAGCTTGACTGAAAGGACTAAAGATTCAGGATTCAAAGAGTGAAAAGCACAAGCTAAGCACAGAGCTCGGAGCAAACTCTTTCGCAAGTCAGCAGTGCGTCACCGGTCCTCTTGGGGTTTCAAGGGTGCCTAGAGCCATGCGTGCTGTTCTCTACTACTACACTTGGAGAACTTTTGAAGCTGGATCCCTACAGCCTCCCAGAAGTGCGGGAAACCGTGGGATGTTCCCCTGTTTCTAGCAGTCCTCAATAGGGATTGTAGTACCCCCTATCATCGTACCTATACAGCATTGTTGGTCTAAGGGGAAACATCTCAAGGTATACGGTATACCTCACCGGAGTTGAACCATGGTGCCAGGGACAATCCCGAGCTCCAGAAGGCCATCGATCGATCGGGCAACATTTACGCCGAGCACTTGCCCCAAAGAGATCCAAAAAAGAAGCCGGATCCAGGGCCACAAGGCCTATAATTTGTTAATCAATATTTGTAAATAGGAAGACTGCCTTTGAGACATTATTCCCAGGTCATAATTACAAAAAAACTTCTCGTTGACGAAGTATTGAAATTTATCAGGGCTATGGTTTTTTGATCGGCTTTATCTTCCAATTATATTCGATTTGATATTTGGTAGGATGGATTTCAGAAATGGAGAGGAGTGAATTATTCAGAGTTGATGGGAAATTCTTGTTCGCCTTCGTTACGATATTGGATATATATCCCTATAAAAGGCTACGGGCTCGACCCTATTTTCGCTCTGCGGTCGCCTTGTCGGTTGCCCCGCCTCCTCTTCCGGTCAATTTGGCTGCTTGTGAGGGCCTTGCAGGGGGATCCGGAAAATTCCGGGAATTTTCAAGCTTTTTGTTCAGAAATCCTTGGAATTTTGGGAATCACCCGGATCTGAAAATTCCCGGAAGTTTCGGAATCACCCGGATTGAGGTTTAGGCTTTCCGGGTTGGATTTAAGGTTCCAGCGCAACAGGAATGACGTGGGTGCCCCTTCACCTTCAAGGAAATCTTCAAGGAAATCTCTGGGTCCAGAGTAGTTCCGATGACGGTCGCCGCCCGCCAGCTGTTCAAGGGGGTTCGGCCTCACGATCGCATATCAGCAACAGCTCTCGAAAAATCCTAGGAATTTAAAATTCCGGGAATTTTCGGGATCCCCCGGGTTCAGGGTTTTACGCTTTACGATTTTTGGGGCTTAATAGAAATTGTATAGGGTTTGTGTCCGGAGTTTTGTCGTGTTTTGGGGGGGTTTTGTTTTTTGATTTTGCTGTAATGGTTTGGGTTCTGTCGGGTGGGGTGGGGGGTGGGTGGTTTTGGGGTGCTGAGGGGTTGGGGCTGAAAGGCTGGGGTTTTGGGGGGTTTACCCGAATGCCCGCGGTGGTGGTCCCGTGGAAAAATTCTTGGTCTAAGTATCCTTGAATCATATTGGATGTGACGATGATTAATCCTTTTCAATATTTTTTCATGGATTTCGAGTTGCCACGGTATATGCCATGTTATGGGCGCCAAAAATCTTTTCAATCTTCAGCCTTAATTACTAGTACAATTGGGGCATTATAGATTGCGTCTTAATATGCCCATGTGGCGTGATCTTGAACAAGGGGCACGGGATTTATTAGTTAATTTGTATGATCGGATCGATGAGCGTTATCGATATGGGACGGGATCTTCTTTTGAGGAAATATCGAAGATAGGTCTAAAAAGTAGCCCCCTATCATAGACGTCGATAGACCCTATAGAGACCCCTATGGTTTTGGGATAGGGTCCTATTCCCTGAGCCTTCCCCGTCCGTGGTGGGACCCTATACATAGGACCTGTCCGTTTATGCATAGACACCTATGCATAGGCCCTATGCCTTTTCCAATAGACCCCTATGCATAGACCCTATCCCTACCTATACCACCCCCCTATGCGGCATAGACCCCTGTCCATTTTTGATAGGCCCCTACCCCCCTCCGGATAGACCCTATCCACAAACCCATAGACCCCTATGGTAACAAATGTATCACTTGTGCTCGAGCGAGAGTTTAGGGTGTAGGGTTTTTGTAGGGTTTTGGGGGGGTTCAGAGTTTAGGGGCTTTTAGGGTTTAGGATTTCTTGTTCAGGCCTCAGAGCTTTTTAGGCTTTAGGGGTTTTCGGGTTTCGGGATTAGGGAGGGTTTCGGGTTTTTTGGGTTCTAGGGGGTTTTTAGGGCTTACAGATTTTTAGGGTTTAGGGTTTTTTGGGGTTTAGGGTACAGGGATTCTTCCCCGCATGATGGGTTCGAAAAAGAATTCAGCGGGGGGGTTGGGGCGCAGCCCCCCCCCCCCCATTTGACACACACACACACACACACACACACACACACACACACACTTTTTGTTTTAGTGTTTCCACATAAACTGGTAATGGATGCTGTCCCGGAGAATGTCATGCTCGAACGAGAGGTAGTAGACGAACTCGTGAGTGAGGAGGTAGAAAGGTCGCGAATGGAGTGTTATGTGAGATATATCATGCTCCAACATGCCAAGGGTCCAAGGGTCCAAGGGTCCAAGGGTCAAGCGTCCAAGGGTCCAAGGGTCCAAGGGTTGAAGGGTCCAAGGGTCCAAGGGGCCAAGGGTCCAAGGGTCCCAAACTGCTCCAATGCTCCACATGTGAGATCATGCTCAATCACTCATGTGAATCACGCCATTCACACGCTCTCACACTGCTCATGCTCAGTCACTCAAAGCTGCTCATCTCCGCCACATGCTCAAACACCGAACATGCTCAATCACTCATGTCTGCTCAGCTCTTCCACATGTTCAAACGCTAGTCATGCTCAATCACTCATGTCTGTTCATCCCGTCCACATGCTCATACACTGTGCGTGCTCAACCACTCCAACATGCTCATGCACCACTTCCTGCTCCACACGCTTATGCTTCACATGCTCCAGGTCTGCGAGGTGTTGGGCAGCTGGATCTCCGCCAAGCTCTGGTTGAACTTTGCACCGAACTTCAGCGTCGGCAGGGCGTTGGGCAGCTAAATCTCCTCCAAGCTCTGGTTGGAAAGACGCAAAACCGCATGCCAAACGTCCACGTCTGCAAGTTGCTGGGCAGCTGGACCCCTTCCAAGCTCTGATGGAACTCTGCGCTGAACGTTAACGTCTGCAAGGCGTTGGGCAGTCGGATTGCCTCCAAGTTCTGGCGGAACTCCGTGTCAAACGTCAACTCACAGAATTCATCCATGCTTCATGCAAAATCATGTTGGAAAAGCTGCGTTGTCACCAAAAGTGTTCACCCATGCATCATGTAAAACGAAAAAAGAAATGTTGAAGCCGCAGGTACGTTTACACAGAGTGTGGGTGGGGTGTGGGGGCGTCTTCGTTGGCCGAGGACCCCCACACCCCAGTCCACACTCTCCTCGGCCCCCTGCTGATTTTCTGTTTGTTCACGAGCCCGCATGTACAGCGGTGTGCCACACACACCCCTTTCGGGGCGTCGTCTTAGGGTTTAGGGTTTAGGGTTGCGCTGGCGCTGATACTGTTTGTAGACGTAAAAGTCGACGACGTCGAGCTTGATGAGCTGGTGTTCGGTGACGTCGAGGTCGAAGATGTGAACCCTAAGCCCTAAACCCTAAACCCTAATCCCTGCTGCTGGATGAAGTAGATGTGGCCGAAGTTGACGTTCGTGAAGGTGACGTAGACGAACTGGAAGTCGAAGAGGTTGATGTGGTGGATGTTCTGCTACTGGAAGACGTGGTTGCTCATGTGTGGGGTTTAGGGTTACGTGCTATGTGAAATGTTATATGAGGTGAAGCCGCTGAAACTCAAGGATCTGGATGCCCGAAAGCTCTCCAATCCAAGAGACTGGAGGTAGTGGCCATAGTACTGGACTCGTTTTTGAAAATGAACATTGACCGAAAAGAGGAAAATTGTTGCTAGTGCAGATATGGGTGGTAGTAGGGCTCCTGCAGGGCCACATTCTCCAAGCTCTGGCTGTAAGCGTTGGGGTTTGGGGTTGAGGGTTAAGGGCGAGGGTTTGCCGTGCTGGGCAGTGATGTGCTGGACGTGGAGGTGCTGGACGTTGAGGTGCTGGACGTCCTGCTTGTTGACGTAGAAAACCTCCAGGGCTCATGGACTGCAGGCTGTCAGACAACGTGACATTCCGGAAGCGCTGGCTGCAAGCGAACCCGAAGCTCAAGGACTGCAAGCTGCCGGGTGGCCCCACATTGTTCACAAGCTCAAGGACTGCGAGCTTCCGGGCAAGGCCACATTGTCCACGCTTTGGTTGAAGTCACCTGCGGGGGTCTGCTCGTTCGAGGTGCTCGAGGCGCTCGACGTGCTGTTAGGGTTTAGGGTTGAGGGTTTAGGGCTAGGGTTTGCCGGTGCTGCTTGTGGACGTAGAAGTCGACGATGTCTAGCTTGATGAGCCTCCAGGGCTCATGGACTGCAGGCTGTCAGGCAACGTGACATTCTGGAAGCGCTGGCTGCAAGCGAACCCGAAGCTCAAGGACTGCAAGCTGCCGGGTGGCCCCACATTGTTCACGCTCTGGTTGGAAGCATAGCCGAAGCTCAAGGACTGCGAGCTTCCGGGCAAGGCCACATTGTCCACGCTTTAGTTGAAGTCACCTGCGAGGGTCTGCTCGTTCGAGGTGCTCGAGGCGTTCGACGTGCTGTTAGGGTTTAGGGTTGAGGGTAAAGGGCCAAGGTTTGCCGGTGCTGCTTGTGGACGTAGAAGTCGACGATGTCTAGCTTGATGAGCCTCCAGGGCTCAAGGACTGCAGGTTGTCAGGCAACGTGACATTCTGGAAGCGCTGGCTGCAAGCGAACCCGAAGCTCAAGGACTGCAAGCTGCCGGGTGGCCCCACATTGTTCATGCTCTGGTTGGAAGCATAGCCGAAGCTCAAGGACTGCGAGCTTCCGGGCAAGGCCACATTGTCCACGCTTTGGTTGAAGTCACCTGCGAGGGTCTGCTCGTTCGAGGTGCTCGAGGCGCTCGACGTGCTGTTAGGGTTTAGGGTTGAGGGTTTAGGGCTAGGGTTTGCCGGCGCTGCTTGTGGACGTAGAAGTCGACGATGTCTAGCTTCATGAGCTGGTGCTCGATGACGTCGAGGTCGAGGATATAAACCCGAAACCCTAAACCCTAAACCCTCCGCTGGATGACGTAGATGTGGCTGAGGTAGAAGTTGATGAAGTTAACGTGAACGAACTGGACGTCGAAGAGGTCGATGTAGTGGATGTTGTACTGCTACTGGAAGACATGGTCGCGTTGGACGGTGAGGTGCTGGACGTGAAGGCGCTGGACGTTGAGGTGCTGGACGTCCTGCTTGTTGACGTAGAACACCTCCACGGCTCAAGGACTGCAGGCTGTCAGGCAACGTGACATTCTGGAAGTGCTGGCTGCAAGCGAACCCGAAGCACAAGGACTGCAAGCTGCCGTGTAGCCCCACATTGTTCACGCTCTGGTTGGAAGCATATCCGAAGCTCAAGGACTGCG